CAGACACGGGGAGAATGTGCAAACTCCACACAGAGGGTGGAATCGAACCCAGGTCCCTGGCGCCATGAGGCAGCAGTGCTAACCACTGAGCCACTGTGTTGCCCCCACGAATGATGAAATTCACGAGGGCAGAGCTTGTTAAAAACAGGTTGTAGATTTTGTTGTTATTTATTTTTTAGGATCGATAGACGAGTTTGTGATTTTGTGGAATTAGAGGATTTATTGTATTTTCTTTTCGGTAACAAACAAACTGGATCTTCCTGGCCGGAAGTTTAATGGACTGACCCAAATCTTCCAGTTAGCTCGGCTCTCCCACTTATCTCTTCACCTTTGTTTCTCTCTTGTACCCGTTGCAGGTATCTGGTCATTGTGCATCCGCTGAAACCTCGTATGAAGTTTCAGACGGCCTACTGTGTTCTGATTGCTGTGTGGTTAGTCTCCCTGTTCATCTCCATCCCCTCAGCATACTTTACAACGGAAACGACGTTCGATGCTTTCGTGGGGAGCAACGGGAAAATATTCTGCGGGCAGATCTGGCCAGCAGACAAGGAACTCTTCTACAAATCCTATTTCTTGTTCCTCTTCATCCTGGAATTTGTTGCGCCCGTGTTGACTATGTCCCTCTGCTATGTGCAGATCTGCAGGGAGCTGTGGTTCAAAAGCATGCCAGGCGTGCAAACCAACCAAATCAAGAAGCGGCTTCGAGCACGGAGGAAAACGGTCCTGGTCCTTATGGGTATATTGACCGCCTACATCCTCTGCTGGGCTCCATATTACGGATACACCATCGTCCGAGATTTCTTCCCAAACATGCTCCTGAGAGAAAAGCACTCCATCACGGTGTACTACATTGTAGAGTGCATCGCAATGAGCAACAGCATGATAAACACGCTCTTCTTCGTTACGGTGAAAAACAACACTTGCAAGTATGTGAGGAAGATCCTCCTTCAGCGCTGGAGGGCTGCCTACATGCCTGACAAAAGCACTGCCATGCAAGAGTGCCAGACCTCAGTGCTGCCAGTGTCTGACGAACTACCTCAGCAGCAATAGCCAATGAGCACTGCAGGTTGAGGTAACACCTGCCATGTGGGTAGATATTCTGGCAAGGCAATGTTAAACAAAGCGATTCTACTGATGTACAGATGTGACAACCAGCCTGGTTAGAAGTGTTGATGATGTGGGTGGCGTTGTCTCAACAGTGAAACAAGGCAAAATATTGATTTCCCTTAGACAGTTGCTGTGAAGTTATCTGGTGGCCACATGGGAAGCAAAGATGATAGTTAAGGTACTCAAGGAGTTGCGCTAAGCGTGCAGGGAGCTATGTTGGTTTTTAGGTCCCAATTCTAAAGGAGATGCAGAGTTTACAAAATGTCCTCAAGATTCCTAGCCTCCTCCATCCTACATACTAAAAAGTCAACTCAAACTCAGCAGATATCCCATTGCTAAGGCCCGGTATAACCTGGTTCCCTTTGCTACTCTGCATTGTTAATGGGCTTCACAAATGTTTTTCCCAAGACCAAGAACAACTGTTGACATCAGTGGAGCAAGATTCCTTGCTGACTCAGAACCAATTCACATACTGAACTTCACCAATGCTTTGCCTATTTCGGACTAACCAAATAGAGAGACTTGTGGTAAGCTGTGACAAGAGCCAATCAGAAAAGCTCTCAAATTGGTGGATGGCTCTGTGCGGGACACATGCTGCAATTTTATCTCAGACAGGAGTTTCTGGGTGGAGAGAAGAAATGAAGCAAATCAGCAAAGACTCCTACCTATCTAGTGATCTACATTGGAAAGTTGAGACACTGTCTTATTGCCCTCAGCACCAAAGGGAAGAAAACGGCAAGGTGTGTGCAGGATGGTGGGAACAAGAATATTTTCAAAATGCAAATTCTCTGTTGATGACATGTGTCTTCAGTGATTGCAATAGGCAACGCCCCGGTGCCAGGGCTGACACCAAAAGCTCCCACGATTTAGCTAACACTTGCTCTCAAGGAAACAGTAGATGGTCTGGTACTGGATTGACACCTCATGTTGAAAGGCTTCAGTGCTTACAACTTTTGGGGTGCTGCTCTAGATACGATTACAAGCAAGACCATGCCTCCACAACGGGAATTCGACAGAGACTAGATCTTCCTAAGCAGGTTTACTGGTCTCGGTGGTTTCAGAATCTGTCCAGGTGGACAGGATGCTTCATATGGATCCTGCCAAACTGGGCTGTGGCATTCCATGAGTAACATTTCATTGCAGATTTCCTTCGCTAAAACCGATTTACTGCATTATACATCTCATACCAGATCCGGCTACATGCAATCCCAAAAACTTTGTGTGCCTTGTGTCAACATTTCCTTACATGATTGTCCTGGAGCAGCGATTGGGGGATGGGTCGTGAGGGTGGACTGGACAATCTGCTACAATGAAAGAAAGACTATAATTTATAGAAGAAGAACCCCAGGACTTTCAGAAACATCTCTGAAATATTCACGTTGGAGATATTATGCTCGACTCTGGACATACAGCATGGAAACAGACCCTTCGGTCCAACTCATCCATACCGGCCAAGTTTCTCAAACTAAACTAGTCCCATTTGTAGATTTAGCTCAGTTTGAGCCAGAACTGAAGAGGGAAAAACAGAGAAACTGGAAAACATTGTTTGTAAATGGGAATGAATACTGGTGTCGAAAATTCCTTGTAAATAGCTTGCAAACGCATCACAGACCATTCCCGTTTCTGGTGTCACCCAAATTCAGATAGCATCCACTTGTTAAAAACTGAATCCGAAAAGAGAGACATCAAAGTTCTTACACTCTGGTTCTGCATAAAATCGGCTGATTCTTGTCTAGTGGTGCACTGTATTATGTCAATGGTTCTTCAGTCAACTGTAGACACCCTCTGTAATTGTTTCTTGTCCCTGCAACATCAATAGTGTTGAATAATATTAATGGAAGGAAAAGGTTTTGCTTCATTTTGTGCATGGTCTGTGTTTAACTTTAAGAGACTGAATTTCACAAAGGTCTTTTTCTGTTCCCGTCACCACATTTTTTTAGTCGCCTACACCCAAGAAGAGTCAGAGAGAGAGACAGGCCTTACATCTCAACTGTCCTACACGAGCAATCTCTCAAGCTTCCAATCTAGGGTTCTCCAGAAACAATTTTCTTACTGTGTGCTCATACACATGTACCAATAGTGTTATCCACATTTAAAGCTAGTGGCATCAATGAAATGTGTGACAATGCTGTGGCTTTAAGCGTTGTGTTTTGTCCTAGTTTATTTTTGAAGACAGGTTTTAAGGCAGAGGCACCGAGCTGGCTAGTGAAGTCTCATAAACAGCTCGGGAGGCCTTGGTTTTTGAAAAAAAAGTTGGAACAATAGAGGCAGCCTGGCTGGGTGTGGCCAGCTCTCACAGACCAGGATTTCTAGTCTTTAGCTTTTAGGTTCGGCAGTTGTTATTGGAGTCTTGAAGAAATTGAGGCTATTTTGTGCTCCCTCTCTCGATTACAGCCAAAAGCTTGGGTTCTCTTTCCAGACTGCTGGATTGCATGCCAGACAAAATCTGTTTTCTGAATTTGCCTTTTACTAAAGGGTGTACTTATGGGATGTTACTATATTGGAACAGTTAATTAGCAATAGTTACTATAGCTATTATTCTGTTACGTTTTCCATTAGAGTTGTTATTATAAGTTCTTCATTCTTTTGTTATATTTTAACATAGTATTTGAATAAACTGTGTTTTGCTTAACGTCGAGTAGTTTGACCAGTTGAATTGCACCTGGAACTAGCACCTCACATTTAGCTTTTAAAACGAAAAAGTTAAGGTCTAGGCTGCCTTCTTAAAACATTTTGAGGAGGCTTAGTCTGGCCCATTCCAGAAACCAGGGTGAAAACTGACATGAATAAATGCCAAAAACCTTAACTGCAATCTGAAGCTTCTATTGTCTTAATTTGGCGATAAAAGAAGTCTTGAAGGAGCATAAGCTCAGTAGAGCGAACATCTGAGAATGATTTAAAGAGAACATGTACAAATAGACCAAATCCCACTGAAATAAAAACCCATTAAAATATAAATGTCAGAGTAAGAAAACAACATGTAATCTCCTCTGGTTCCGCCTGATATAAGAGCCACACACTGCTGTTCCACATACACAGACACACTTTGGACAGTGTCCAGTGCCTGTCTTGGCTGCAGTTCCATCAGTTATGAAGTGACAGCCCCTTTTCCCTTTGAAGTCTTTCAAGCAACAAACGGCCACTCGCAACATCTTTTGAGCATCTCCTACGGTTTATTTTTGAAGACGCAAAGGTTTTAACGCAAAGGTACTGAGTTGGCTAGTGAATGCCCATAAAGATCAGGAGGCCTTGGGTTTTTTTTTATAAGGTCGGAACAATAGAAGCAACTTGTCATCTGTGTGTGGTAGTCACACTCCTGAGACCAACTGCACTTGGCTTCACAAGCTTCAAGCTAATCCTTTTCAATACCGCCTTGTCAATATCGCCACCAATTTAATTCAATCCCATTTACTTTGTAAACCAGCAACTGGCTAAAAGAAATAGAAGAAAATGACACTGTATGGAGTAAAGGAAAGAATGGAAAATATAAAGGAGCAATTAAAGGGAATCGTTAAAAGGACAGATATAAATGCTCGGGTTCATTGAGACACAGAGCTGTACAGCACAGAAACAGACCCTTCAGTCCAACTCGTTCATGCTGACCAGTTATCCTAAATTAATCCAGTCCCATTTGACCCTTATCCCTCTAAACCTTTCCTATGCATGTACCTATCCAAAAGTCTTTTAAATGCTGTAATTGTACCAGCCTCCACCACTTCCTCTGGCAGCTCATTTCATACACGCACCACACTCTGTGTGAAAAAATTGCCCTTAGGTCCCTTCAAAACCTTTCCCATCTCATCTTAAACCTATGCCCTCTAAGCTTGGAATCCCCGACCCTAGGAAAAAGACCTTGCTATTCATCCTATCCACGCCCCTCATGATGTTATAAACCTCTTATAAGGTCACCCCTCAGCCTCCAACACTCCAGGGGAAACAGATCTAGCCTATTCAGCCTCTCCCTATAGCTCAAACCCTCCAATCCTGGCAACATCCTTGTAAATCTTTTCGGAACCCTTTCAAGTTTAACAACACGTTTCCTCCAGCAGGGAGGCTAGAACTGAATGCAATATTCTAATAGTGGCCTCACCAATGTCCTGTTCAGCTGCAACATGACCTCCCAACTCCTAGACTCATTGCACTGGCTAATAAAAGCACGTATACCAAATGTCTTCTCCACCACCCTGTCTACCTCCGACTTCACTTCCAAGGAACAATGAACCTGCATCCCAAGGTGTCTTTGCTCAGCAGCACTCCCCAGGACCTTACCATTAAGTGTGTAAGTCCTGCCCTGGTTTACCTTACCAAAACTAACACCTCACGTTTATCCAAACTGAACTCGCCATCTGTCACTCCTCGGCCCATCTGCTCAAGATTCCTTCGTACTGAGACAACCTTCTTCACTGTCCGCTAACCAGCAATGTTGGTGTCATCTACAAATTTATTAATTCAACGTTTATTTTGTAAACATCAACCAGCGACTGACTAAATGGGACAGGAGAAAATGACACTGCTCAAAGCAAATAAAGGAATGGAAAATATAAAGGAGCAATTAAAGGGAAGTGTCAAAATGAAAAGGACAGAAATAAACGGCTGTAAGTATGGTTTTGCCTGTTTATAACTAATTGCCTAACCTTCCTGACACCCAATCACCATACTCCTGCACTCAATTCTTTCTAATGGCATACCAAGTAGTCTCTCAACCCTAATTACATTGCATTAAAGTCAGTTATTCTACCACATATGAATTAAGGTTAGGCTCCTCTGCAATTCATTTGAGATCGTGGCTGATCTGATTAAGCCATATTCCTGCCTATCCCCTGTAACCTTTCACTGCCTTGATTATCAAGAATCTACCTACTGCTGCCTTACAAATATTCAACACCCCCGCTTGAGGAACACTGTTCCAAACAATCATGACTCTAGGGGAAAATTATTCTCCTTTCCTCTGTCTTAAACGTTCTTTAATTTTATTTCTGAAACCCTTTCTACTTTGCCAATTATGCAACTCACTGGAGCACTGGTCCCCGGTTCAGTTCTAAACTATTCCAATGATACAGACCCCACCTTTCCCCAGTGTTAGCGTCAGTGCCCACAAATTGGAATTCACTTCCACTTAACCAGTCTTGACCCAGATGTTAATTTCACGAATCATACTCGCCCTAAACCAGTTTGCGTGTGGCTCATGTAATAACCTGAAAAATACCATCTTTAGGTTTTACTTTTCAATTTGGTGCCTAGCTCCTCATTCTGACTATACAGAACTTCTTACTGTGCCACAGGCACCTGCATGAACCACAACAACTAGATCCACTCTTCCCACTTTTAAGTCCTTCTCCTGCCATGAGAAAATGCCCGAGTCCCAGCATTAGGTAGGTAGCACAGCCTTCTGTACTCTTATTTTTTTGCTGCAGAGTACAATGACAATGTCCCTCACTGTACTGTGTAGTCTCCACTCCAACCAGTGCCATCTACTCCAGAAGCATGTCATAACACATGAAGACGATGATTAAAAAAGAAATCCACTTTTTGACATTACATCAAGACTGTTGAGTCAAGTTTCCATGCCCTATTTTTGTAGGAGGCTCTGGAAGTGCAGTGGTAGTGTCCCTATTTCTGAACCAAAATGCCTGTCTCTTCAAGTCCCACCTGTTTCAGAGATAACAAGGTGTAGAGCTGGATGAACACAATAGGCCAGGCAGCATCAGAGGAGCAGGAAAGCTGACGTTTTGGGTCTGGACCCTTCTTCAGAAATGGGGGAGGGGAAGGGGACTATGAAATAAATATAGAGGGGGGGGTGATGATGGAAGGTGGATAGAGGAGCAGATAGGTGGAGAGAAGACGGACAGGTCAAGAAGGTGGGGATGAGGCTATTAGGTAGGAAATGGGAGTGGGGGTTGGTCAGTGAGGTGGGAGGAGCGGATAGGTGGGAGAAAAGACGGACAGATCAAGGAGGCGGAGACGAGATGGGCTGGTCTTGGGATGAGGTCGGGGGAGGGGAGACTTTGAAGCTTGTGAAGTCCACATTGAGACCATTGGGCTGCACCTCCCAGTCGCAAACCACTTCAACTCCCCCTCCTACTCCTTGGACAACATGTCCATCCTGGGCCTCCTCCAGTGCCACAGTGATGCCACCCGAAGGCTGGAGGAACAGCAACTCATATTCTGCCTGGGAACCCTGCAGCCCAATGGCCTCAATGTGGACTTCACAAGCTTCACAATCTCCCCACCCCCGACCTCATCCCAAAACCAGCCCATCTCGTCCCTGCCTCCTTGATCTGTCTGTCTTTTCTCCCACCTATCTGCTCCTCCCACCTCACTGACTGATCCCCACCCCCTCTTCCTACCTGCTAGGCTCATCCCGGCCTCGTTGACCTGTCCGTCTTCCCTCCCACCTACCCGCTCCTCCCTCCCTACTGACCAACCCCCATCCCAACTCCCTACCTACACTCACCTGTACTGGCTTCATCCCCACCTCCTTGACCTGTCCGTCTTCTCTCCACCTACCTGCTCCTCTATCCACTTCCATCATCGCCTCCCCCTCTCTATTTATTTCAGAGTCCCCTTCCCCTCCCCCATTTCTGAAGACGGGTCCAGACCCGAAACATCAACTTTCCTGCTCCTCTGATACTGCCTGGCCTGCTGTGTTCATCCAGCTCTACACCTTGTTATCTCAGACTCCAGCATCGGCAGTTCCTACTATCTCTGTTCCAGAGGTATGTCATTACATGTAGGTAGATGTAAAAATACCTGTACCAAAACGATCGTTTTTACTATCCCCACTTGAAAAGCTTCTTGTGTCATTTTCAGTTAGTTCATGCATCCTGCAGCTTTCATTCCCATCAACCAGTAAAAGAACCTCAAATCTGCTGGACAATTGCTGCTTTAATATTCTTCAGTTGAAAGAATTCCATCTGGCTTTCCGTAACCACATTATTTTTAAGTTTTTACCTCGAATGTGCACAATGACAATTCGTCCCAAAAATCAATCGTTTTGTAAAAACATACTGAACCTGACTGTGACTGAAAGATTTGGGGATTTGGGCATACATGGCTTTGGACCAAGTTCTGGAAAATGGCCTTAAAATAGTTAGGTGGTAGTTGTTGATCAGGGCAGAACAAATGTGCCACTTCTTGTGCTGTAGACCTTTCTCAAGATATGGGTTCCACAGGCTAAGCCAACATTTATTGCCCATCCCTAATTTCTCCTTGGGGGGTGGGAGAAAGGGTGTGGGGAAGTGGTAGATACACCCATAGCACGACTGGATGCTTGAAACACTTATTTTCTTCAGTGCTCTCAGCAACACTGATTGCATGGTGAGAACTGGGAGCAAGAAAGAATGTGGAAGGGAAAGGAGAGACAGCTTGAACAAATTGACTTCGTTCAGTAATGCACTGAATGGTAATCTCAAGGATCAAAGCAGAATGGAAGAAGTATTTTGAGCAAGTTAATGAGAAAAGAAAATGATGATCCATTTGGCATGATCTCTAACAGCTGACAGTTCTCTGAATAATGTCAAGTGAAGTAGTGGAATATTTTACAGTATAAAGTCTTTGATCCTTATTGTAGA